TAATAGGTGCGCTGTGTACTTGCATATTCACTGTCAGTTAAGCCAGAAGATAGCCTGAAATACTCTGTCGAAGATAAGTGAATACGTGAAAAATGTACATTACAAAGGGTTTTAGGACCCAAGTCCGGGATAGATGTATTCCAGAGCAATATTTCCACCACCAAACGCGTCATCACCCACCTTTAGCCGGCTGACTCGACCTAAAGGCTTTTTGCTTTGACGTTGATTTGCTCTGAACTTCCGAGATTGGTTTTTCGGAGTGTTGGGCGCAGGTCTCCGAGAAGTCCTGGCAGCTTGCATTTGCACGGTCTGTTTTAAAGCGCGACCGCCAGTCTCCTCCCCAGTATCACCTTCTTCATACGGACGTAAGTCAGCCCGTTCCACTGGCACTGTTGGGTTCGCGGATTCTCTATCGTAAGTTATTCTCTCAACAACCACACAGGTTTCGTAGTAGAGCACATAAATTATCCACGCAAACGTTGAACAACAAAATCCCACGACCGCAGGAAGAAGAATACAGGCGATAGCCAACTCACCACCAGGACCGATTGCATGCTTTTTTAAGTTGTCCAATTCGTGCATCAAAAAGGCCTTTGTCTCTGCGTTCATGCCGCTCTGAGGGCCTTTTTGCACGTGCTTATCGATTTGCATCGCCCATCCACTACCAATTAAGACGACCAATTAGAGGGCCGAAAGCCTGCCGACTCCATGTCCTGTCAACTGCCGGACGGTCAGGCGCTTTGCACTCGCTAGTCGTGGTTCTGTGTAAACCGCCAGACACGTATACCCACACAAGGGCTCGCCCAAATCGCTACGTTGATGACATCTTTGCGATTGCAACCACAGAAACCGACGTCGCTGCCCTCCTTAATGCTGCAAATCAGGCACATCCGTCGATCAAATTCACGTTGGAGATGGAATCGGCTGGTTCGCTTCCTTTCTTAGATGTCCTTCTAAACAGGAGATCTGACGGTAGCATCCGAAGGAGCGTCTATCGGAAGAAAACCTGGTCTGGACAATACACGAACTTCGCTAGTTTCGTACCTCTCCAACAAAAACGGAATCTAGTCAGATGTTTGGCACAAAGGGCTAGAAAAATTTGTTCAACAGATAGTATCGAGGAGGAATTTAGAAAAATCCAGGACATGCTTCGCGAAAATGGGTATCCTGACAGGTTCATTGCAAAGAACCTTGCCGAACGACCCGCAAAACTCACCACACTAAACGCCGAAAAGAAAACGTTGGTCCTCAAAGTCCCCTTCCAAGGAGACGCTGCAGGTGAACTCCTAAGAAGACGCCTTGACCATGCTGTCTCGGGAACCTTCGCGGCAGCAAGGGTTCACATATAATTCTCTACTACCCCTATTCTACGCGCAGAAGGCAAGGATAGGCTACCACCTCAGACCGCCTCAACGTGAATCTACTCATTCGCTTGCTCCTGTGGAGCAGGTTATATTGGTCGTACGAGTCGGCGCCTTTCCAAAAGAATACGATAGCACCTTCCCGCATGGCTGGCAAAGGGTGAAACTAGGAGAATAGACAGCGCCATCCTTGCGCATGCAGTGGACTCAGGGCATCGTGTGGATCCCACTGAAGCATTTCGGGTGATTTACAAGGTCCCCTCGAGCTACCCTAAGCTACTGGGCCAGCGCCTGTTAGCAACAGCAGAAGCGGCCGCCATAAGGTTACGAAAACCGACCCTATGCGCCCAAAAGAACCCTGTTCAGGCTTCGCGCTTACCATGGTCAAAGGTTGACTAACCACATACAATTTTCTGCGCCTTTCCGCTCTTGCCTAGCCTGTAATTTAAAACCTAAC